GGTCATTGCGTTTCTGTTCCGTGGGATTGCGGTCCAGAAGGCACCTTGGACCGTGTGGTCCGCGGTTGCAGTCGTCCTCAGCATCGGCGTACCCACTGCGACCTCGATCGGTGTGAGTTCCGAGCCGAAGTGTGCAGATGACGACGCCCAAATTATTGCGCTGGCAAGCGGCATCCGCGTCAAAATCAGTGGTTGCGCTGAGGTGCAGCCCTATTGCGAAGATGCGGCGTATGGCAGCACTGTGCATGCGACCTGCCCTGCAACATGTGGCCTCTGCGGGGCGGCCAGCCCCCGCAGCTCCCAGTCGGCGAAGGTGCTGATGGACAGGAGCTCCAAGGGCTCCCGGGACGCGTACGATCAGCAGTCCCTGGACAGGTCTCTGTCGGCGAAAGGTCCCGACCCGACGCCGAGGCCGACGCCGTGGCCGACTCCGTGGCCGACGAGGTGGCCGACGCCGTACCCGACGCCGAGGCCGACGCCGTACCCGACGCCGAGGCCGACGCCGTACCCGACGCCGAGGCCGACGTACCCGACGCCGTACCCGACGCCGCACCCGACGCCGAACCCGACGCGGTACCCGACGCCGTACCCGACGCCGTACCCGACGCCGTACCCGACGCCGAACCCGACGCCGTACCCGACGCCGAACCCGACGCCGAACCCCCCGACGCCGTACCCGACGCCGTACCCGACGCCGTACCCGACGCCGTACCCGACGCCGTACCCGACGCCGTACCCGACGCCGTACCCGACGCCGAACCCGACGCCGTACCCGACGCCCTACCCGACGCCCTACCCGACGGCCTTCTCGACGCCGTACCCGACGGCCTTCCCGACGCCGTACCCGACGGCCTTCCCGACGCCCTACCCGACGGCCTTCCCGACGCCCTACCCGACGGCCTTCCCGACGCCCTACCCAACAGCTTTCCCGACGCCCTACCCGACGGCCTTCCCGACGCCCTTCCCGACGCCCAGCCCGACGCCCAGCCCGACATATCCTTTGGGTTGGCCGACGCCACAACCAACGTTTCCTCCCGCAGCTCCTATGGCGGGCGGAGCTGCCGGAGGCGTGGCTGCCACCGGCGATCCCCACCTTCAAAATGTGCATGGCGAGCGGTTCGATTTAATGCAGGCGGGCAAACATGTTCTGATAAACATCCCTCGTGGAGTGGGCGCTGAAGACGCATTGCTTCGTGTGCAGGCCGATGCTCGCCGCTTGGGTGGAAGTTGTTTGGATATGTATTTCCAAGAGCTGAACATTACAGGCTCTTGGGCAGAGGCTAAGCAAGTCGGAGGGTATCACTACGGCGTAGGGCAAAGCGCTAAGACGATCCCGCAATGGGTCGCGATTGGCCAGGTAGAGCTGAAAGTCGTTCACGGAGTCACAGAGAGTGGCATCCTGTACTTGAACTTATATGTGAAGCATTTAGGGCGATCAGGGTTTGCCGTCGGAGGTCTGCTGGGGGAAGACGACCACAAGCACGTGATGACTCCCCCTGCGTCCTGTACCAAACACACTCGTTTGGCAGAAGCAGTGACGAGTGGCCAGGCTCCTTTCTCCGACTCGTCAGTTGCCATGGCAACCTTCGCATGACCATGCGGGATATTGTAAAACGTGGGTCGATGACAAGTGCGGCCCTTTAGTGTTCTCCTGATCCATCGGAAATAATGCATACGGTGCAGCAGCGACGGCAGCGACGCCCCCCCCCGCGCCTCCCCCATGGCGTGCTCCGCGGCGCCTCTCTTCCGCCTCCTCCTCCTCCTCCTCCTCCTCCTCCTCCTCCTCCTCCTCCTCCTCCTCCTCTCCTCCTTCTCCTCCTCCACTCCTCCTCCATCCTCCTCTACTCCTCTCCTCCTCCTCCTTCCTCGCCTCCTCTCCTCCTCCTCCTCTCCTCCTCCTCCTCCTCCTCCTCTCCTTCCTCCTCCTCCCCCTCCCTCCCTCCCCCTCCCTCCCTCCTCCCTCCCTCCCTCCTCCTCCTCCCCGGGGCGGGGGGGGGGCGCCGTCGACCCCCGTCGTCGGGTCGCCCCCCTGCCCCCCGTCGGCACGCCGCTCCCCCGCCCCCAACGCGCGGAGTGCCGCGGCGCCCTGGCGCGTGGTTTGCCCTCCGACCCGGGCGCCGCCGCCCCCCCCCCTCCCCCCCCCTCCCCTCGGGGCTCGTCTCGATATCTATCCCCCGACCCGATCCGATTCGCGGCGCCTCTCCTCCTCCGCCTTTTCCTCCTCCTCCTTTCCTCCTCCTCCTCTCCTCCTCCTCCTCCTCCTCCTCGCCTCCGCCTCGCCTCTCCTGCTCCTGCTTAGGGGGGGGGGGCGCCGTCGCCCCCCTGTCGGGGTCGGGCCCCCGCCCCCGTCGGCACCGCCCCCCCCACCCTCCCCCGTCCCCTCGGGGCTCGTCTCGATATCCCCCCCGATCCGATTCGGTTCGATGAAGTGTTGATGGCTTCCGATTCCGATCCGATGTGACTTCGGATTCCGATGTGAATGCCAGTTCGTTGCTGGAGGCGCGTACTAGCCTGCCGTTTCCCACCGGTTCGCCTGCTCTCCCGACTGCGCTGCCGATGTCCGCCGATCCGAGGCATTTCGGTGGCCGATCCGATGTCTCGACTCGATGCTGGGGTCGCCTGCCCCCTTGCCCTCGAGGGTCAAGATCGGGACGATCGAAGTGGGCACCGAAAGAAGGGGCACAAAGACCAGGGACTCCCACGAGGGCGACCGACACCAGCTCCTGCTCATTTTGAACAAGGGCGCCCTCGAGGGCGCGGAGTGATTCGCGCTGCGCGCTTCGCGCTTCGGCTCCGATTCCTCATCCGCCTCTTCTTTCCTGGGAGGCGGCGCGAGAGCGCGAAGTTATTCGCACTTCGCGCTTCGCGCAGCGCGTTGCGCGAAGTTGGGAGCCCTTGGGGCACAAAGACCGACACCAGCTCCTGCTCATTTTGAAAATGACTCGCTGTCGGCGTCGCCGCGGACTCTGCCCATTTGAGGCAGAAGGCTGCCTGCCCAGCAGCGGCCGCTGTTGGTGTGGGACAACAGCTGTTGCTAGGCATTGTGCAATTTTTTCCGTACACAATGCGGTCGTCCGAACAAGAGATGGGTGTCAGTGGGAACGAGGGTCAGTCAGAGCCCCAGATTTTGCAGGGTCTTGCAGGGCCAGGTGTGCACGGACCCGGGCTTGGGAGTGCAGGAAATTTGCAGGATCCTGCAGGGTCTTGCAGGATCCTGCAAGGCTTGGCTGACCCAGGTTTGGATTGACCCGTGTAAGTAGATCCCCGACCCCGTCCAAAATGCAGTCGAAACCAATGTCGAGGAGTGCTAACCTCGGACGGGGTTAGGACGTCGGAAGGGCCGTTCCAGAAAGTCCCGGAACGCTCTCAGAGCGCTCGGGACTCTGAGGAGGCCGCGGCGCCCGAGACATCTTCCAGAGTCGCGGGATCTCAGAGATTCTCGAATTATTTCGTCGTAGGTAAGGATAGACAACCGGCCCAAGGTACCCTTGCATCCTTGCCCCTTTGGTCCATCGTTGATCATTTCGATGGCCAGCCCGGCTCGAAGAGATTCGACATGGGCGCACAAGGTACTTGCATCCTTACTGCGCATCCTTCGCGCCGTTTTCGGTTCGGTTCCATTTGGTGGTCCCATTTTTTTTCCTGTTTTGGGCTGCCTCTTCTTTCCAATGTTGGTTGGCCGAGACCGCAAAGGCGAGAACGGACAAAACGTTCCCCCCCTCATTTGAAATGTCAGCTAAGCCGCCCGGCCTGGCCCACCCCCCTTAGGTAACGGTAGCGATCGCACGTGGGGGGGAGAGGGTCTGGAGCCCCCCCCACAGGCTGGTGCTCGCGCGCGCACTCCGGCGATCGCAGCGCCCTCCGCCCCGACGTGCCCCACATCGCCCGAGCGCCACCGCCACTCTGGGGCCCCAGTGCCCCCCCTCGAGTGACGACCGCTGCCAAGCATAGACGCACTCTCGTGGCTGCCGACCCCCCCTTGGGGGCTGCCGCCTTCCCGTGGGATCCCGCCCGGGCGGTTCCTCGCACCCCCTCGGGGCCCCTCCCCCCCCTTGTTGGCTGCTCTGGGCGCCTGCTTCGAGCAGGTGGAGCCTCGATCCTCCACAGGACGCACGGTCGCAACCAGTCGCATTCAGCAGAGGTCTGGAGCCAGAACCCCCTCCCTCCCCCCCATGGAGTTGATCTTCGCTGTTTTTAGCGCCTGCTTCGAGCAGGTGGGGTCTCCCCCTTAGGAAGCACTGTTGCACAAAGTCGCATTCAACGACTGGGACTACCAGTACGAGTGGGCGTGGCTGCACGAGTGCGGGTGTGTACGTCTGCGGGACTTGTGCTGCCTCTCAAAGGGTTGCCCTGGGGGATATGGGCGAGGTTCTCGACGGGGGCGTGACGCCGCGAACGCCGCATGACTCCCCGCCTGTGGAACGCCCGCTCCTTTTGATAGTGGGTTCTCTCGTGCTTGCGTTTGGACGGTGGTTTTAGTTTCCCGTGCTGCCCTTCTCAGGTATTCTTCCCTCTTCCCACCGGTGAAGACCATCATCGTCCGGAGGATCGCCATAAGGCCTCACACCGTCCCTATCTCCCATCATAGGGGCCGCGGGGGGCAAATCGCCACGAACCTGGCACCATGATAGAGGGATGCGGAGTCCCTGAAGACGGGACGGGGTGGGCACGAAATGGCATCGTAGCCGGCTCAATATCCAAAGAGGCAGCATAGCCTCATCGTTCATCCCGTCATTGACCTCATTCCATGCGTAGCATGCTCTCCCCTGAGGGGCCGTGAACGGGACCCATTCCCCTGCCGGCCGACTAGTGCCGCCATCATAGGCAACCAGATGGGGCCATCAGAGAGACTTCGAACCCAATACAAAGCCAGCAGATAGGGCTCGCTTTGGGAAAATGGACTATCACAGGCCTTGGGTTTGGGTTTGGACCGTGGTTTTGGTTCCCCTCACTGCCCTTGTCAGGTATCCTTCCCCCCCCCACCGGTGAGGACCATCAAAGGCCTTACCAGTGAGGACCGCCGTGAGGCCTCACACCTTCCGCAGCCGCAGCTTCCATCATAGGGGCTACGGGCGCAAGTCCCCACGAACCTGACACCGACGACTTCAGCGACGACGACGACGACGACGATCACGACTTTGACTACCAGTTCGAAAGGACGCAGCAACACGATTTGGGGGGGGGGGCGTCAGAGGGATTCGTGCTGCCTCTTAAACAGCTTCCCAGGGGTAGGAGTGAGGTGCTCGACGCGGGCGTGACGCTGCGCAGACTGCCCGCTCCTTTGATCTTGGGTTCTCTCGTGCTTGGTTTTGGGCGGTGGTCATCGTTTCTTTCACGGCTCTTTTTCAGGTGTCCTTCTTCGCCCCCACCGGTGAGGACCATCATAGGCCTTACCAGTGAGGGCCGCCATGAGGCCCCACACCTTCCGCAGCTTCCAGCATATGGGGCTGCGAGGGCAAATCCCTGCGATCCTAGCTAGCATCGTCGCCGGATGTCGATGACCACGGCTCCCGCGACGACGACTACGAGTGGGACTTCCAGTGCGAGTGGGCGTCGATGCATGATTGCGGGTGTGTACGTCTGTGGGACTAGTGCTGCCTCTCAAAGGCTGCCCCGGGGCATAGGGGCGAAGTGTTCTACGGGGGCGTGACGCCGCGAGGTGACGGCGGGCGTGGCCTATCTCCCCGCCAGGGGAACGCCCGCTCTTTTTGACAGTTGGTTCTCTCGTGCTTGGGTTTGGACCGTGGTTTTTGTTTCCCGCACTGCCCTTGTCAGGTATCCTTTCCCCCCCACCGGTGAGGACCATCATAGGCCTTACCAGTGAGGACCGCCATGAGGCCTCACACATTCCCCAGCTCCCACTTTAGGGGCCGCGGGGGGCAACTCCCCACGAACCTGGCACCATCATAGAGGGATGCGGAGTCCCTGACGGAATGGGGTGGGCAGTGGGCACGAAATGGCATCGTAGCCGGCTCAATATCCAAAAAGGCAGCGCCGCCTCATCGTTCATCCCGTCATTGACCTCATTCCATGCGTAGCAGGCTCTCCCCCTCTTCCAGTCAATGTCGAAACTCCGAATGAGAAAACGCTCACCATCCCTACGTCGCCGATGTGTCGGCGACGTGATGCGATCCTCCGACTCCACTCATTTACACCCGCCCCGATTGGGTGGCCTCCACTGGAGGGCCGCGGAGGTCCCAGGCAGCTGTCATTGGTCCAGAGGTCTCCGCGGAGGTCCCGGGAGCGTCTGTGGCGGCCCAGGAAAGGCTGGGAACGGTGCCGAATATATTTTGGACGCCCGAAATGGGTACGGAAAGAATGGGTACAATGCCCAACAACAAATGTAGTCGCAAACCAACAGCGGCCGCTGTTGGGCAGGCGGCCTTCTGTTGCGAATGGGCACAGGCCGCGGCGACACCGACAGCGAGTCATGTTCAGAATGAACAGGAACTGCTGTTGGGCATTGTGCCCATTCTTTCCGTACCCATTCCGGGCGTCCATGTATATATATATATATACACATACATATATATATATATATATATATATATATATATATATATACAGGTGCATGTGTATATATATATATATATATATATATATATTCTCTCGACCAGTGGCAGCTTCAGTGCCAGACTCCCCCAGCGTTGATTTCTCATATGCCATGGGCCCTATAGAGAGCTCGACCCCCCAGGACCATCATCCCGGAATAGTTCGCGTAGACGGCCGCGAGGCGTGGTGAGGGCCAGCGAGGCCCCAAATGACCAACAACCTTTTCGTCGCGTGTTTCCACGGCGCGAGGAGGACTTCTGAGGGGGAGGGTGGGGCTCACTTCGCTCGGGAGCTCCCGAACGAAGTGAACCCCACCCCGAGCGAAGCGAACCCCACCCTCCCCCTCAGAAGTCGTGGGGGCTAGGGGTAGGGTTCGCATGTGGCCCCCAAGTCACCCTCTGCGGGGAACGCCCGGGCGGATGCCCCCGCGCGGCCGGCCCGGGGGCTGGCGCCCCCATTGCGCCCGTGGCGCGTCGCTGCCGCCCGCCGTCGAACCCTCCTTCGGCGATCCACGAGAGGCGTCCTCCTCCGCCTCCTCCTCCTCCTCGATCCTCCTCCTCCTACTCCTCCTCCTCCTCCTCCTCCTCCTCCTCCTCCTCGATCTGCCTCCTCCTCCTCCTCCTTCTCCTCCTCCTCCTCCTCCTCCTCCTCCTCCTTCTCGTGCGAGCGCCGCAGGCTGTGGAGCCATTGGGGACTCCGTGGGGCCCTCCTGGGGACTCCGCGAGGGGTGCTCCGTGGGGCGAGCTGGGGGGGGGGCGCTGGGGGACCTCTGGGCCACTGCTGGCAGCCCCCGGCCCGCACATATCGGCGCCTCCGTGCTGTTTGTAGCACGACGAGCCCCAGGACCTCTCCACCACTACCCTGGAGCCTGTTTTTTTTGGATTCAGGCAGCTGTACTTGCATGGCGGTCGCCTCCCCCCCCCCCCCCCCCCCCCCCCCCTCCCCCCCCTCGCCCCTCGTTCAAGCGAAATAACTAGAGTTTGCAAGTGCCTTTCGGCTTGGTGATTTCGCCGGCCACCCACCCTCCCAGGCTTGCTTCAGGCTCAGCCCCCCCCCCGTCCATGCAAGCAAACTTGCCAGAGTCTAAAAACAACAGGCTCTGGGGAAGGTTTTCCTCCCGATCGTTTCGGATGGTCCGGAACACTGAAACAGCTCTCTCCATGGAATCTTGCCCCCCCCCCCCCCCCCCCGCCCCCCCTCGCGCCCTTCCCCCCCCCCCCGCGCCCTACCCTTCTTGGCATCGCTCGGACGTGTGCATTTTTCCTTCGGCGAGGACCATCGAGGAGCATCCTAGATTATTTGGTGAAAAACCATGCACGAAACCTAACAAAAACACAGGAAATGGACGTCCGAGCGATGGCCAGCCTTGGCTCAGTGAGCGCGCCGAGGGAAGGGGGGGGGAGCTGGGCGCGCGCGCGCCCGCCCGCTCGGCGAGGTGTCCCGGCGCGCACCTCGGTCACCAGGCCGGGCGCCGCCGCCGACGCCTTCGGGGCACAGCTTTTTTGCCTTTGTTTCGTCGATTCTCTAACGTTTTCGCAGTTTCCGGACATTTTTCCAAGGGTTTCGGGCGTGTTCGTGGATTCTGGGATTTTTTCGGCCTCGGGGTGCCTTTCTGGTACGCTGCGCCTCGCCAGCTGCTTCTGGGGGGGGGGCCCGGATCGTCCCGGGCGGGAGGCTTTTAGTTTTATGACCTGGAACCGACCAGGCGTCGAAGAGAGGGGTGAGGACGATGTGTGTGTGTGTGTGTGTGGGTATCATGTCGGGTATGGCCAGGACACCAGGTAAGGGGACCCAGCTAGTGGTAGGGCCCCGGAGCCTTTGAATTGGCCAGAGTCACTAAACCAGATTAACTGTAGCTGATAATGTTCGGGTGACGACAGTTCCGGTTGGTGGAAATGGGACGGGGGGGCGCCCCCGGTACAGATCATTAACCCAGGTTCCACTAAACCCAGTTCTGCCAACGCCCGATCATGGTTGGGGCCCTGAGATCTTCCAGGGTTCCTGGCGCAACATTCTTCCCCCGCGTCGGCCGCGCACGGGCCGAAGGCCACGATCGGTTCGCTGGCTCTCTGGCGTGCTCGCTGGTTCTCTGGCGGTTGTCGGACGTGCCCAGGGGCTCGAGGATGTCAGCGGCTTCCGGCAGTTCTCGTGCTCGGGTTTCCTGGTGCTGCGGGTGCTCTCTGGCAGCTGCGCGCCTCGCCGAGAGCTTTCGCGGGGGGCCCGAGTCGTCCCGTCGGACTGCCTGAGATCAAGGTTGTGACCCGAGCTCTGGACTTGCAGCAGCAGGGGAGGAGGAGAGAGAGGGGACGAAGACACGTCCACCTTGGGTGCCCTCAAGGGGGCCCCCTGCGGCTCAAGAGGGGCGCGGAAGGTGCACGTCTTCCCCCCCCAGCCATTTACTGTGCCCCCCCCCATGAAAAATAGCGCCCGACGAGCACCCGACGACGAGGACCACTCGGGTCGGTAGGGGGGGCCAGAGGAAAGGGGGCTTCCGAGATCTGCTGCTCGCAGCCCGCCTCGGCCTCGGCGCCCCGCGCGCTCCTCGATGCCCGGCCGCCTCCGGCGCTTGGACAGCCAGTGGCATGCAGCCGACTCGCTGACCCCCCCCCCTTGCCGTGCCCCCCTTGAGATTGTTTGTTCCCCCAGCCATCCTGTGGTGTTGGGTCCTCGTTTTGAAGACGAGACGGTGCCCCGCGCCTCCTCTCCTTCTCCCGCGCCTCCCTCCTCCCGTCGCCCCCCTCCATTTTGGCACACCCCTCACACGTTTCGTGGCCCTGTCGGGAGCTCCACCGAAGGCCCCAGTGGCATGGTTCGCTTGCCGCCCCCCCCCCCCCTTCGGCACAACTCTCTGACGTTTCGTGGCCCCATGGGAAGCTCCACAGAAGGTTCCAGTGTCGAGGT